TATACTCACTGCTGTAATATGTATGACTTACATGCTGGTTAAACATTTTTTTAAATGCCCTAAGAGCCATTTTCAACAGAAAAAAACATGCCAGTGCACCATATCTCCATGGGACTTATGCAAGGCCAAATACAGTTTGAATGAGATTGAAGCTCCCAGGCATCCATGGCCTTTGAAAATGGCATGCATGAAGCTATGTTACCTATGACAGGACTGTCAAAATTCTGAGTAGAGTCTGGCTCCAGACAAACACCCATATTTAAAGCACCTGGGCTCCCTCACAGAGTCAGTAGTGCCTAGAGAGTAAGTAGGCTCAGTAAGTGCTTTAGCTGACTCAGCCAAATTGCTTGCCATCTACTAGATCTCTGCAAACTACAGAAAAAAACTAAACATCTAGTCTTAGGTATTTTTCAGCTTGAGTTCAGCCTCACCATCATGCACAAAAGATTTTTAGGCATTGAGCTCCAGAGGTATCTAAAGCCAGAAACACTTTAGACTTCGCCAGAAACACTTTAGACTTCTCCAGAAATGGACTGCCTGTAGGACCTACAAATGAAATGTGCCTCTACCTGGTCTTCCCACTGCCATTTTCAAGTCAGGTATTACAAAAAGAAAGGAAGACAGAACCTCTCAGTTGCAGCCAGTCACTCAAGCATAAGGGCTCACCTGGCACCAGGAGGGCTTGAAGCAGCTCTCCCATGTGGGAGAGGTTTTATTTTTTTATTCCTGTTGACCAGGAGTACCAGCTGAGCCCCATACCCCTGCAGATGTCTCTGGAGAAAGGGCCCCACAAGCTCTTCTGGGTCAATCTGTTTCAGTTTGCATCAGTAACTCGACCAGGCAGTTGGTCAGGTTAGACAGGAAATTATCTCATTAAGATATCACTACATTTAATGCAGGCACAGTCTGGTCTCACCACTGCTGAAGACCTTTCCCCATAAGGCTCTTATTCCAAAGCTGTCTTACACTTAAAAGGGCAACCACATCGGTAATACCATCTAAATACAGGAATTTACCAGCTTTGGGAAAAATCACTCGGTGATTTCCTGCACCATAACATCTTGGTAGCATTTAGTGAAGACAGGTTTGACAACAGAAATTGTTCACAAGTTCTGTTTGTCAGGTATGTCCTCCTATAACTCATATCAATGACATCTGACAGAGCTAAGCAGGGAACAGCCTGTCTTGGTTGTAGTTTGCTGAGGGGGAAAAAAACAACAGCTGACATTCCAGTAACTCTTAATTTTTAGATCTTCAGGCACAGATTTTAGTTCATGGTAGTACTCACTTCCTGAACAGTAACTCAACCCAACTTTTTGAAACCTCAGTATCACTTTTTACCAGATTACCTATAACCCCTTCCCTTTTCAGTTCTTTTTGGGAAACTCGGAATTTTGCCTTTTTTTCCCCCATCTCGCAGGGAGCAAGTAAACGCCTCTCCAATCAGATACCTCTGATCATCCTGTCCTCTGTCCTTCACGACTTCGGAGAAAACATTCAGACCACAATGCTGCAACTTTTGCAAGATAAAGACAAGTTAATCGTTCTCCTTGAGGAGGACAGTGAGGCTGCTAAACATAGGAACTATCTCAGTCAGCGAGTCGATCGTCTCACCAAAGCCTGTCAGTACCTGAGAGACTTCAGCTCGCTGTAATTTCTTTGTTTTTCATAGGTATTTTTCCTGTTTTCTAGCATTATTGAAGAATTTCATATAATCCCCTAAACATTTAATGTCAACCCAGACCTTTAACACTCATTTCTAATGCTCAGCTCTGCTTTATTTTCCATAATCAGTTTTATACAAGCAGCTACCTTTACATAAAGGGCTCCAACGGGGGAGCTGTGATTAAACAAATGTTATCCTATTCCTTGCTTCATGAACTTTGTAAAACCATTGAAATGATTATAAAAAAGCTACCACTCCGAGGGTTGTATGTTTTGTTGTCTTTCCTGGCATTGCCTAAGAGATGACCCTGCAAAGTGTCGCCATTGTTAAGCGTCAGCCCAATAGGCAGAGAGGAGACACACAGTGGGAATGAAACAATTACAGCCTGGAAGGAAAATAAAAGTTTACTTTATCAGATGGGTACCTCCACAGGATGCCATTGGCTTTGTTGAGTCTCCTTTTTCAGTTCTCTGATTCGCAGAGAAAGGCTAAGAGGCTCTTTCTCTTGGATGCCTGGAACATCACCTGAAATTTTGGGACTGATGGGCAATTCAATACACGGCAGGATTTGTATGTCCAAAATGGATTAAGCCACCTAGGATGTTAAATACTAGAAGGCTGTCTCAGCATGTGGCTTGTAGGGATTTCTGATATGGGAAAACAGCAAGAAATAGACGTTGTTACCCGGGTAGGACGCAAGCCATGGGAAAAGGAGGAGCGGTTCCCTTGGGTAGAAAGAGGAACTTGAAAAAAGGATGAAAGGAACTAATGTTACTAACAGGTAAAAATATTATAATATTGTAGCTAGCAGTGAGGATTCACAGATTCAATGAACAATTGCAGCTTATTGTGTAAAAGGTATAAAAAGCCTGCTCAAATAAATAATAATGTCTTCGCTTTTACCATCATGTGAAGTCCGTGTCTTCAATCGCCACAGTGGCTTGCTGCCTTTCTCCTTCCCCTCCCCAGGGCATGAAGAACCTTTCCAAAAGCTCTTTCAATTTCATGGAAGCCAGTGCAAAATATATCACTGCACACTGCGTTCATGACATCTTTCATATGGAGGATTTATTTTAATGGGCGAAGCTGTGCTTTGTGTAGCAAAAGTAATATCTGCATTCAGCTAGAAAAAAAACAATGTTGTTATACCAGTGTGCCATGTAGTAATTTCCAGGATTGTTACAAGAGAAGCCTTTTCCTCAGGCTAGAAATGACAGAAAGTGTTTGACCCTCTGACAGGAAGCTGCAGCTGATGGCTGATTTCTGTGGTACAGCATTCACCCCACTACAGCACAGCTTCCTTAACCCTGCTGACCACTTCAGACAGTTTTCCACATTTCACTACACTGTTTTGCTACTACTGACTTGCAGTGCTGCAGGTCAGAAGCCATAAAAAAAAGCCTGATATCATAACAACCTAACTTATTTAATTTCTGGTTTGAAAGTACTTTAAACTCGCTGACTATATCATGGTAAGCCCCAAGGTGCACTTGATGCACCTGTGCTATTGAAAACACCAGTCCCACACCTAGAGAAGAGAGGCAGGTACACATTGCTTGAGGCAGTGTGAGATGCAGTAACAAAATAGGGTGTGACTCCCTCAAGCCACTGCCTGTAGGCCAAACTTATTTAATTTCACAACTCAAGTGTGATTCCATCAGACCCAACCACCACATTCAACATTCCAGGACATCTTTCCAGCTCTCTTTCCCTGGGTTTGTTTAAGGATCTGAAACATTGGAATTAAAGCAATCTCTTGGATCACCCACTTGGGTTGTTTTTCTATTGTTTCTTTTGTTGGTTTTGTTTTTTCAATCAAATTGCCAAAGCACTTCAGACACTGAGTCCAGTAACTGCTTCCAAAAAAATCCAAGCAAACAGATACAAAGCACTACTAAAGAAAACTATTTGTAAAAAAAAAAAAAATTTATTTGGTGCAGTGTTTACATGTAAGATAATTACATCTCAGTACCAAAAGAGAAAACAAGACTAGTGGAGTCATTTCATTCAATAAAGATTTATCCTTCTTAACAAAGTGACTTGATATGGCTTTTTGATCCTCTGTACTATGATTATAAATTATTTTCAAAATCCTAGTTGAGGTGGCACTCAGATATTAATTGTTTTGCCAAAAAACATACAGGCAGATACCTAAAGGACAGCTCTAAGGAATCAGAAGGCAAATTTAATAAATGAGGTAGTTCATCTGGTTACGCAGAAACACAGATTTGTGTTTCCTTGTATAAAACATCCAGTCTCTGCACATGTGTCTGCAATCCAAGGTCTTGCAACACAGCCTTGCTGGAAAAGTTTGCCCTTTGCCTTTACAGCAGGGAGAGTTCAAAGAGTCAGCCTGGGTGTGCACAGCCTGTCACTGGGACACCTCCCTCACCACTTCCTGCTACAGCTCCAGAGCATCCCTCTCCATACCTGACATCCCTCTCCACACCTGACATCCCTCTCCATACCTGACATCCCTCTCCATACCTGACAT